TTAACTCGTTGATTCTTAAATTTGATTGGACCTTATCTAAGATGATATGTCCTTCCTTACAATCAATAAGGACATACTTTAAATCCTCAAAGTATTTAGGTAATAACCTCAACCAGAGTAGAGTTTTGTCCTTGCCATCAAATTTCACTTTAATATTTTACAAGTGATCAATAATTTTGTGAACATCCCTTGCCATCAAGTTTATCTTGCACTACAAGAAAATTAGTGTTTAACGACACAAAAATTGCGACAGTTATGTGATAACTGTCGTAATTGACATATAGAGACAGTGTTTACGACAGTTGACACCAACCGTCCCTAATATTTATTTTGCGACGGTATATTTAACCATCATAATATTATTATTACGACGGTAAAACAACCGTCGGCCCCTATTTAACACTTTTAACATTGATTTTTCACCAACAACTAGTCACGACGGTAAAATTAACCGTCCTAAAAGGCATATCACGACGGTAAAGCACCCGTCGCACCCTTAAACCTATCACGACGGTAAAATTATCCGTCCTAAAATTCATTTCACGACGGTAAAACAACCGTCGCACCCAAAACCTTTAAAAATTCTCATGGGCACGACGGTAAAACACCTGTCGCCGTAAAAAAGTTAAAAAGCTCATAAAACATCCATTCACTTTCTACTCCTGCATTTTGACTATCACTTATAATATAAATTGTATCACAGAGGTTCGATCTAAATTATAAAGAAGAAATGAGATCCATTGTAAGTCTCTAGTTGAAGCAACAAGAGCACGATACTCAGATTCAACAAATGGAAAAGCTAGAGTAGTTTGTTTCTTGGAGTTTCGTGAAATGATAGAATGATCAAGTCTATAATCACCTAAATAAAACAAGCACCAAATAAGATTTAAACAATTTTTTTTTGAGATTTATATAGATTTGATTTTATATCCATCATTAACACATTCAAATATAACATGAAATTAAAATTTAGATTTACAAATTATGAACCCTAAAATATATTATCCAATGTCTAGTACTAAAAAAGATCTTAGAACTAAAAGAAATTAAAATATTGAAAATTTATGAGTTCATTATTCTTCACTTTTATTTCTTTTCGAGATTAAAAATATTCCACAAAAATGCATTTGCACAAAGTTGAATGAAAAAATGATTCTCATTATAATAGAAATGAATTAATTATAATGATTTATAGTGCAAACTCAAACCCGTTCTTCTTCACACCGAAAGAAACCCCTTGACACCGAAAGGAATCTCTTCAAATCGCTCATCTTCACACCAAAAAACGCACAGCAATGGAAACTACATCCTCTGCGTTCATCTCTTCAAACACAGTAAGTTTTATGTATCACTTTTTGCATTGTTCTCATCTCTCTCATTCTCTGCCATTGATTTCAGCATTGGAGATTCACTTGAATCTTATGGTTGAGCTCTTTGTGATGATTGATTTTGAGTTTGAATATATTGAATTGATGTTAGGTTTTCTAATTTGTTATTTTAGGGTTTTATTTCTTTTTATGATTTTTTAGGTTTTCTAATTTGTTGTTTTAGGCATAAAACTGATATAAGAGGACCATATACTGATCCAAATGGGATAGTAGTCGTTTTGCAATTGTAATAATAATATTGATATATCAGTCATTCCCCTTGTTAAGTTTCCTGGCTTTAGGACAGTATTTCGAAGGCACCAGGACCAGAATGAGGTTAAGAGGATTCCTAAAGAGGAGATGTTCCGATTCTCTCATCAGGCACCGTTTTTTTATTACGACTTCCTGTTTTTAATAGAAAAACACTCGTACTCTTCTGTGATTTACGTGGGGTCTCCGCTTGGCAACTTTCACTAAGTATGGGTTGGTGAATGGTAGAGATTACATTCCAGGTATAAAGTTGGTAGGAAATGGTCAGATACATATTTTTAGTTTGATCCTGAGTGGGAGGAGAGCTGCTCAAGAATTTCAATAGATTTAGTAGGTTATTTAGAATGACGGGGAACAGAGACCATGTCAATAGGAAGATGAGGTGGTAGGATTTTGTTGGCTAACGTTTTGAAAATATGTTAAATGTTTGGATGTGAAATTAGAACTCGAGAGAATGCTATTCATTCAGAAGAGATTACCATATGAACAGGATCATGTCAACATAAATGATTCTTCAACTTGTGATGTTATCCGGAACAAATTGGTGCCTCATAAGGTGTTATTACTTGCATGGATCATGTCAACATAAATGATTCTTCAACTTGTGATGTTATCTGGAACAAATTGGTGCCTCATAAGGTGTTCTTACTTGCATGGAGGCTATTTAATAATAAAGATTCAGATGTGGAATTACTCAATTGAAATCCAATTTGTGTGCCAAATTGTGATGATATTCAAACTTTTCAATATTAATTTTATAAGAATTTTAGTGCAACAGTTAAACATAGCTTTTCCTAATGATGCATTCTGTTTTATTCACGTGTATAAAAAGTTTATAGTTTGATGCATCTTAATATAACATACCTGTCTAGATTTTAACTCCCTTGCAACCCCTGCTGTTATTGCAGAGGTGAAATATTCCGCTGCTTCTTTGGCTGCTCAAAGTCTATTGCTAAGGTGAGAATTTCATTTTCAGTGTTTATAGTTAATGGCTAGTTAACTGTATTATACTCATGCTGGTTATTCTAAATCAATACAATTGATTTTGAAATGTTATTGTGTTCCCATTCACATTGGATCCTTTTCTGCTCTGGTACTTTCTTTACTCGAGTTTGTTATGGTTCCCAGCAGTTTAGATTAGGGGTTGGCATTTGTCATGATTAGTACTTGTCTTACTGCTCTGATAGTCATACCTGGATGCTCATGTGATTTTGTTGCTGACAATAATATTAAAATCTAGGAGATTTCTCAGTTTCATTTTGTAAAGCATGTATTTGCTACGTATTTGCTACTCAGGTGTAAATGTTGATGAATTATTGCTACGGGAAGTACACTATCTTCACCAAGTTATTTAAATAAGCATTATAGGCTGTGTAAATGTTTTTTTTTACTTTCCGATGCATGTAGCTTTGTAACATCTAATGTATTTTGTCACCAATTATGGAATCACCTAGTTTAATGCTTATTGAGTTAGATACTAATTTCTACAAGCTTATATCGTCAATCACCTAGTTTAATGCTTTATTGAGTATTTGAGTTAAATACTAGTTTCTATAAGCTCATATCATTCCAGTGTCTTATTAACAAGATGTCTCTACACAAAGGATTTTGTGCTCGCGTTCTCTTTTTGGTAACTCCATCCGTTTCAAATGAATTGTCATGTTAGAAGTCTTAGTTTCAGATTATGTAAGGCTTAGAAAGTCAAGAAAGCATTATTTTTGTCTTTTTTTTTAACTTTCTTTTGGGATTTGCACTATTTGGAATTAGAGGCAGCCTTGACAAAGTTAAGGGCTTGGCCATAGCAAATGAAAATAGTGTCTGGGAATCAAAAAGGTGAATTGGGATTTGGGATTGTAAAGGGTGTGAGTTTCAACCTCTATCGGTGAAATCTGAACAAGGATTAAATGACTGGAGGAGTTTTGCTATACTCACTTGATTTGATTACTGAACTTGGATCCCCAATACTTAGTAGAGGGGGCTTGTAATTTTCTAACCATTCAAATTGAATTGAAAGGTGATACAATAATATGAAGTTATATTTCTCTAAAGTTGTAGATATTTGATAACTTTCTTAATCATTGTGCAGAGCTTTAAAAATGATCATTTTGAATGGAGGGAGTAGTTTTATTTATTTATTTCGGGCTTTCTCTAATATGAGGGTTGCACTATGTTATTATTAACAGAGATTGAAAATGTGTTACTGCATGTGCATGTATTTCATCTTAATCTCGAGCATCTATTTTCTAATAAATGGTTATGGTTTTGTAATTTTCTCTCAAGCATATTTATCACTTCATTTAGAGAAGCCAAACTTGGTTGCATGATAATCTGTGTTAAAAAAACTAATTTCAAGTCTAAATACAGGTTTCAATTTATTGTGATTTTCTTGTTTAGTTAATGAACTACTTTTCTTCTATTGCCAAAGAAGAACATGTACCTTAGAATATTGCTTTGAAGGGTTTAGTTGTCGAATAGCTTTCGAATAGCTGTCAAAAACATAAATGGGAATGTGTAATGTTTGTTATTTGAAATGTAAACTACAGAGTTACTCTGTTAATTGAACTGTAATGATTTAGACAGATTTTTCTTTCTTTGCAAATGTAGGACGGTCGAAACATGAGCTGCACCCCTTCATGCATCTGAAACATGAAGTGTCTTCCGCACTAGAATGAAAATAATAATGTTTTTGTTGGATTTAAAGGGATATGAGCTGTTGAAAAATATAAGATTTCTATTTGATAAATCTATGATTTCTACCAACTATTGATATGCTGCTTTGGTTTTTGTTGCAGGTAACTTTTCTCTTCCACTTGCTTCGCTGCTCTTCAAACCCTCGTGCGTCTTTGAGGTATGATTTCATTCTTAAATTTGAGTGTGCCTTTACTATATCACTTTTTAATAGTGCTAGACTAAAGAATTTCATCTTATAAGAATTTTATCTTAAATTTGAGTGTGCCTTTACAAATACATTATTCTTATAAGCAATTGTAATAACCAAAATTGCAATGTTTGCAATCGCATTCATACGGGACCGCAAAAGCACTTTAAAATCCTAGTACAAAGCAATATTAAGGTCGCACTCGCACACTGACACAACATAAGTAAATATTCTTGAAGTACCTAGCTAAATGTAGTAAACATATTGATATGAAGTATTTATCCATATATGTCTGTTACATGAAACTGTATTATACTAATTGATATCACAAGGCTTCACCTATAAACTTGTTATGTAGTGTGTAAAAACAAATTAAACAACCAATAATAAAACTCATCTCTTTTATTTTTCTATTGTTTATATTCAAAATAACATGTTCTCGTAAGTACTAGAATTCTGAAAATATAATTATTTTTTTTGAAGAAATGGATAAGTCATGGATTATTAAGCCACAATCATCGATTGCGTATCAAAAAGGAATACAAGAATTTATTGATTTTGCATTCAAAGGTGCAAAAGAAAACGACGTAGTAATATGTCCTTGCAAACGTTGCGGTTTCAGAAAATTAAAGAGTAGGAGTGACATGTTCGACCACTTAAGTTGGTCACCATTTCCGCAGGGATACACCATGTGGATCCATCACGGAGAGTCTTTTGTACGATCTAGTACTATCTCCCCTAGTACTACTCCAAGTATGGTAGAAGATACTAACATTGTCGAAGAACCTATTCAGAACATGATCAACGATGCATTTGGAGTTTATGGGAATCATGCAAATGAAATACCATCTGCGTCAAATTTGGAGATTGAACAAGAAGATTATGTGATGCCAAGTTCAACTCAGGAAAGAAACGAAGCCAAGGAGTATTATGAGTTGGCTAGAGAAGGAGAACAACCTTTATATGAAGGGTGTAGACGATATTCAAGACTATCTTTTTTGGTTAAGTTGTACCATATAAAGTGTTTATGTGGATTGAGTGAGAAGGCAATGACAATGATTTTAGAGTTAATAAAAGATGCATTTGAATATGCAAACATTCCAAGATCATTCTATGAAGCCAAGAAATCAATCACAAAACTTGGTTTGAATTATGTAAAGATACCCGCATGTCCAAACGGTTGTATGCTTTATTGGGGAGAAGATGAGGAGAGGGAGACTTGCAAAAATTGCAACACTTCAAAATGGAAAACAAATGAGGATGTCTCTGTTAACAAGAAAAAAAAGAAAATTCCTGCCAAGGTTCTTCGTTATTTTCCATTAAAACCTCGATTACAGAGATTATTTTTGTCATCAAAAACGGCAGAGGATATGAGATGGCATGCAACAGATACTAACAATGATGGAATGTTGAGGCATCCTAGAGATTCAGAAGCTTGGAAGAAATTTGACTTGACACATACTTGGTTTTCATCAGATCCACGGAATGTGCGTCTTGCATTGGCTAGTGATGGTTTTAATCCTTTTGGTGTGATGAGTACAAACAATAGTATTTGGCCAGTTGTTCTCATACCATATAACACTCCTCCATGGGTTTGCATGAAGCAGACATCATTTATAATGTCAATGATAATTCCCGGTAAAGAGGCACCAGGAAATAATATTGATGTCTACTTACAACCATTAATCAAAGACCTGAAGGAGTTATGGACAAGTGGTGTGGATACATACGATTCTTTCAAGAAAGAGATGTTCAAGTTGCATGCAAATTTGATGTGGACTATTAGTGACTTTCCAGGGTTGGGTTCACTTTCTGGGTGGAACACATACACAGGACTTGCTTGCCCATCGTGTAACTTTCAAACTACACCTCTCCGTCTTAAAGCTAGTCGTAAATGGTGTTTTATGGGTCATCGTCGTTTCCTTGATCGGAGACACAGGTTTAGATTGAACAAGATCCGCTTTAATGGTGAACAAGAAATGCGGAGTCCACCGAGAACATTATCTGGACATGAAGTTTTTGAAAAGGTTAAAGATGTTGAAGTCATCTTTGGTAAAAAGGCAGTGAAAGAAAAATCAGTAAAAAGAACACGTGAGGAACAACCTATAGAAGGTGATAGTACACAATGTGATCCTACAAAAGGTCATCCTCAACAATGGAAAAAGAAAAGCATATTTTTTGAACTTCCGTATTGGAAAGATAATCTTCTACGCCATAATCTTGATCCGATGCATATTGAGAAAAATGTGTGCGATAATGTCCTATTTACTCTACTGAATGATAGGCAAAAGAGTAAAGACCATTATAAAGCTCGAGAAGACCTTCAAAATATGGGCATAAGACCTGATCTTTGGCCTGATGAAAATGGTAAAATTTCTCCGGCTGCCTTTAGTTTAACAGGTAAAAATAAAAGGAATTTTTTAATGACTTTAAAGAATATTAGGGTGCCTGATGGTTATTCAAGCAACATTTCTAGATGCATTGACTTAGTAAATCTCAAGGTGAATGGAATGATGAAGAGTCATGATTGTCATATATTAATGGAACAACTTTTACCATTATCCATTCGCACAACATTACCTCATGAGGTTTCAGCAGTATTGATTGAGTTGTGCTCATTCTTTAGACAATTATGTGCCAAGGTATTAAAAATTGAAGACATGGAAAAATTGCAAAACCAAATTGTCCTCACTTTATGCCATATGGAAATGTTATTTCCTCCCTCGTTCTTCACGGTTATGGTCCACTTGGTTGTTCACCTTGTTGAAGAAGTTAAACTTGGAGGTCCTGTTCATTATCGATGGATGTATCCTGTTGAAAGGTAAACTATGTGATTTTGTTCTAATGTTACTAACTTAATTAGAAAGTAGAAAGTTTTTTTAACTAGTGTTATTGTGGTTCAATGATAGGTACTTGGGAAAACTTAAATCGTATGTACGTAATAAGGCAAAACCAGAAGGGTCTATTGCAGAAGGATACCATTTTGAAGAGATTCTTACATTTTGTTCAAGATATCTAGAAAATATTGAGACTAGATGGAATCAACCTGGACGTGTAGATGACGACCCTATTGATGATATCCAAACTGCTTCACGTGTAGCTGAATTATTTCCTAGAGTTGGAAAACCTGTGGGTGGATCTTCTTATTACACCCTAACACCAACTGAAAATTGCAGGCTCATAGACACGTTTTAACAAACTGTCCAATAGTTGACGACTATCTAAAGTATGTAGTTTTATTACATTTAAGTAGTTTCATCTATACTATTAATATTTTTTTACATCTAATATCGAATAATCAAATAGGCAGTTCCGAAGTTTTACTCAAAACCAAATGAGGCGCAGTCAAAGAAGTGCTACTGAGATAGACAAGAAGGTTCATAAGGAGTTTGTGCATTGGTTCAGCAATCGTGTGAGTTTTCATACAAAAATAGATGTTTTATTGAATTGGTTTTTAATAATAACAAGACTAATTGAATGTTGTATCATGTATAGATTCGCAACAATCTTGACAACATTCATGGGCCAGATAAAGATGTTCTCATTAGTCTTGCTCATGGACCTTTTGATAAAGTTAAAAGATTTACCGCATTCAATGTCAATGGATTCAAGTTTCGAACGTTGGAACGAGACAATCTTTTAAAAACTCAAAATAGTGGAGTTTTTGGCATGTTTGGGACACGAAGTTATTCAAGCAATAATGATACCCAAATGATATTTGGAGGGGTCCCTTACTATGGAAGATTAATAGATATTATTGTGCTTTCCTATGATGGCTTCACAGTGCCCATGTTTAAATGTGAATGGGCTAATACCATAAACCCAAGAGGAATTAAGATAGATAAGTTGGGTTTTACCTCTATAAACTTTGCAAGACTACTACATACTAGTGAACATGAAGATAATGAGCCATATATTCAAGCATCTGAAGCTCATATGGTTTTTTATGTAGATGATGAGAGTGAACAAGGATGGAGCATACCTGTTCATTTGAAGCCAAGAGACTTGTATGACATGGGTGGAAATGATGAAATTATGACACCCATTGAGCCATATCCATCACAAAATTTGGAACAAATCTTTTCAAATGATGATCTTGGAACTTCAGCGACAAATGATGACAATAGTTAACATATAGTTTTTTATTGATAAGAATCTAGTTTGTTTGTAACTTGTGTGAGACTTAATGTATGATATTCCATTGTTACTCTATGTTCTTTGTTGCTTATCCCTAATTAATATGTTAGATGACATTGTTACTCTATGTTTTTAATTTATTGTGTTTATGTTATGTTTAATAAATTTGTATTCACTAATATATAATTTTGATGTTTACTACTTTTAGTGTACTTAATACCTATACTTGCAGTTGAAGCCTTTTGTGAGACAATGACTACACCATATGAGAATAGTCGCCTCAAAAGAATTGCAGAGAATAAGAAAAAGTTAGTGGCTCTCAATCTTCCTACACTCTCTAAATCCCTTCACAAATCATCAGAGTCTTCTTCCAAACCATCACTGGTCAGTCATAAATTCTCTATACTACTCCATACAAATTAATTGTACTTATTATTTACTAATATTCACTAATGTATTTTATTTAGTCTGTGAAGGGCCGTTCAAGGTTTGTACAACCTGGAGAGCTTGAAGTAAATAAGAAGCGCCTACGTTCAATTACAACTCGCAAATCATCAATAACCCCTCCACCAATGGAAACTACAATAACCCCTCCACCAATGGAAACTACAATAACCCCTCCGTCAATCCAAATTGCAAAAGATGTTGTGGTAGAAGATGAGGATGAAGATGACATGGTAGGAGATGAGGCTGATGATGTTGTGGTAGGAGATGGGACTGGAGATGTTGTATTAGGAGATGAGGCTGAAGATGTTGTGGTAGGAGATGAGGCTGAAGATGTTGTGGTAGGAGATGGGACTGGAGATGTTGTGGTAGGAGATGAGGCTGAAGATGTTGTGGTAGGAGATGGGACTGGAGATGTTGTTAAAGTGGCTAAATCTGAGTATTGGGATGTAAATGTCATTAGTAAGTAATTTAAGGTTAAAGTATCTATAAATAATTTAAATTTTTTACATAGTTGAGTTATGAAATTAATTTGTTTACTTTTTTAATGTGATAGACGAGGAAGGTTATGTTTCAAACACACGTTTATGTGTGAAAGACTTGGTTGCGAAATCAGAGCCTGATGGAACATGGATAATAATTGAATTCAATAAGAATAATTGTGCAGTAGGACCGGCTTCTGGTTTGCTAGCAGGATATTTGGGTATAATTATTAGAATGTTTAGAGATATTCCCATAATGTTTGAGAGTTGGAAGAATGTTCCAGCAGATACAAAAACAAAGTTTTATGAATCAAAGATAAAGGTATTATTAATAAACAATTACATATTTTTTAAATTAACTTCATGGTGATTATTATTTCCTTTGTCAACTAATATATTTTTATGTTTAGCGCCATTTTCTTGTGGATGATGGGCGTGACAAAGATTTTGTACTTGCTTCTGCTGCAAGGAAATGGAAGGATGCTCGACATACATTGTTTCACGAATTTTATAGATGGGATCTCCCTTTGGAGGAAAATCTTCAAAATTATCCAAAATGCAGAGGCATTCCTGAAAATGACTGGGCTGTTTATGTTCAATATAGGCGGAAAGAAAAAAGACAGGTAACATTAGTGTTTTTATTTGTTAGATTTCTCTGGTTTGTATGTTATCCCTATCTATAATGCATGTTTTTATTTGTTACAAATGTAGAAAATATCCCAAAAAAATTCCCAAAATAGAGCAAAATTGAAGGCTCCGCATACACTCGGATCTAAGTCGCTTGCAAGGAAGAAACATGAGTTGGTATGTCTAAATCTATATGTTGTTGATCGTTTGCTTGATAGTACAAACAATTTATATTAGTTTTTATTTGCAGGAAATGAGAGATGGACGAACATACAGTAGAGGAGAAATGTATGCAGTTTCTCGTAAAAAGCCTAACGGGTCATTTATCAATGAAGATGCATACAACAATAATGTAAGTACAAGTTAATTCTTTTGAAATACTGGAAAAAAAAACGGTAATAGTAATAGAACCATCCCAAATAAAACTCACCACTGGAATTTATATATATAATATGGAGAAAGAGCCCGATATATGCTTGGATTCCACTTGATGACATTGTATCATTGAACTAAATAAAAGCTTATAACTTATTTATGTTATTAACAATGAGATCATATATCATTGAACTCAAGTGAATACATATCAAAAGAAGAGAAAGGATAAACGTCTGTTTTATTTCATCCACATATAAAAAGATTTCAAACACAATGTCATCAAGTGGGAACGTTTATCAGTAGGAACGTTTGGAACTTTAATATTAGTTTTTCATAAAATAATTAATATTTATTTGAATTTGATAATAAAATGTTATTAACTTACTTCCACATTTATCAGTAGGAACGTTTGGAACTTTACAAGCGTTTGCTACAAACAATGCTTTTTCCATGCTGATTGCATTTTCAATATCAGGAGTCACATTCTTACAGTAACATGAGACATTAATGCCTTCCAATGACGCACAACAAGCTTCTAAATCTGCTAATGGTGGATAGCAAGCTTTACTGTTATATTATTCTTGTTATATAAACAATAGCTCAATTTTTTCTTTTTCATGTGCAGAAAAAATTACAAGCTGCAATTAAGGATTCTGTGTCTGAAAATGAGGTATTTCAGAAAGTATTTGGAAAAGAAAAGCATGGATATGTTCGTAGTATGGGACTTGGAGTTACACTATCTCAAATTAATAGATCTACGAGATCGACATCTTCTTCTGCAGAAAGTGAACAAATAAAGGAAATGCAAGAAGAAATTAATGCACTTAAAGAAAAGAATTCAAAAATTGATGAATTAACACAGGCAATCATATTCTTAACGCAAAGGGACAAGGCGAGGACAAAGGAAATTGAACTCTTAATGCAAATGCAGAATTTTAGTGGAAGACAGGTATATTATTTTGACGCATTTAAAGTTAAATTTTATGAGTATTATTTTAAAGATTATTATTTTAATACCTTTTTTTAGGGATTGGAATCACCCGCTGATGGTAGACGTTCATCTGAGTCTAGCTACCGTATTGGAGATAATGGAACTTTAGGGGGGACAAATTAGACTTTGCTATGATCGAGATAATTAGATTGTGAACTTTCTCATGTATTTTTGGCATAATGATACTTATTATTATAAGATTAGGAATTGATATATTTTGGGTTTTTTGTACTACTTGACATGATTATGGAACTCGCATTTTACATGATTATGGAACACACATTTTTTTGGATATTATAATGCTTATTTGATGTTAAATATTTTTTATTGAAATTATTTTTACTATATTACAAAGTGATAGAAAATAAAACAAAAAATAATACTATAAATAAATATATTAAAGAAGAAATAATTTAAAGAAAAAAATAACACAAAAAAAAACTATATTTAAAATTTTTTACATAGATAATAATTTAAATAAAAATATATATAATAGAAAAATAAAAAAAAATCAAGACATAAACAAAAGTCATGGCGACAGTACCGAACCGTCGTAATCAACAATTAAAAATAATCAACAAAAGTCATGACGGTATCGAACCGTCGCCATAAACAATTTAATCAATTTCAAAAGATATTGACGACAGTATCGAACCGTCGCCATCAATAATTAAAAGAAACTCAAAAGATAGTCACGACGGTATCAACCCGTCGTAAACTAGAACGACAGTTTTTGTAACCGTCGCGAAATAGGTTGGGGACACACACTTCTGCGACGGTAAAGCAACCGTCGTGGAAAGCAAATTGCGACGGTTTTAACCGTCGTAATCTACAAAAATACCTGTCGCAATCTGTCAATTTTCTTGTAGTGATTGTGACATCCCTTTTCACTTTATCTCTAAGGCAAGGTAAAATCACTCCTAATTTTATCCATCATCCCAATATTTTCCTTTTAATGTTATATTTATCACCATCAATGTCTCACCATTTAATGTTTCTACATATTTTTCATGAATCAATATTGATTGCATCTTTACTTTCCAAAATTCAAAATTGTTGTCTCCTAAAAACTTATTGATTTCTCATTTTGAATCCATGGTGCTAACTATGAACACTGCTTGTCATAAAGGATTCAATCACACCAAGAACAAAGGTATGGGACAAAGAACAAAAGCAACCACATAAATCAATCTTAAGAAATGTTATTCTACCAAATAATGTAAAAGAAAAACCATAACAACAAGATCAAGATAAACAATAAGAATAAACACATATAAAATTACTTACTCAATTCAATCCAAAGTGATCTACACTATATATATATATATATATATATATATATATATATATATATATATATATATATATATATATATATATATATATATATATATATATATATATATATATATATATATATATATATATATATAAAGAGAGAGATACTTTAACCAATTTACTACCAATTAAAGTCTTCAACAAGAGATTACAAATGAAAAATAACAAAATAACTCTCCAAATTCATAAAAAAATCTCTTATTTTCTACTCATTCATGACTCAAATATATCATCCCCTTAATACATGAATCACACAATTCTAATGTGTTAAAAGTGCTTCCTAATTCCTAAATAACATTCAAAGATTACGAAACTCTTAGAACAATTATTCCTAAAATGTTTTCTATTTGTATATCTAATATTCTCTCTCTAGAAAACTCCCTCCCTTTGAAAAATCTCATAAAAAACTTAGATATGGCATAATTTATGATTAAAATATCACGTGTTTCTTTCTGACGCCTTGCATGTGAGGCAAAAAATGAAGTTCTTCTGAAACCATATCCCAAAAATTTGTGTTTCCTCCAAAACGTCACGTGTTTGAGATGGAATTAAATTGGACAAAAAATCTTGAGTTTCTTAATATTTATTAATGAGTACTATAATGTCTTAAAATTCATATAAAAAGAGTGCTAAACTATTGTGGACACTTTTTTCTATAGATTTAAATATTGATCTTACATGTGATCAGAACAGATGAGTGGCCAACAAGACAATGATTAATGGAGATGGGAGTGTAC